TATAATACGCGTGCTGCTGCGTTTAAATATTAATATGAAGTTTATATTTGCTATCATATTGTTTGCAAAGTCCACTGTTGTTATGGATATACTCGTTTGTCACATGTTCCCTTCAAAAACAAGTTCAACAATCTTTTAACAAATAAATACTTTTTTCTCTTTTAATCTAAGTTGAAATTGCCTAAAACAAAGTTTTCAAAAACTTAATTGGCGAAAAATACTTTAACTAGCAATAAATAACGGTTCAGTGGTTTCACAAGATATGTGTCGAAAATGTACCCGCAAACATAGTAACACACAATAACATGGGCTGCTGGAAATATGAGTAAAATGGTGTGTATTCATAAATGAATAAATAAATATATGATTGTATAGACACATATGAAGAATATTTACCCATTGCTATGTGTGTGGCTGCAAATGCTCATATTTGTAAATTTATATTTGGAATATGTTGCTTGGAAAAATATATAAGTTTTTTAGCTGAAATAAATTTTTGTATATTTGTGTTGGTTATATTGTAGTGACGTTGTATGTATCCATCTAGTAAAATTTAGGAAGCATAAAGCTAGCGATAAAACTACAATATAATAAATCAAATTTGTTTTTTTTTTAAATCATACTAATCTTTACAAATACAGAACTACCCTGGTTAACCATTGCCTCGTTTTTGTTGTAATGTACAATAAGTTTTTAAGGATATAACTTCTGCCCGAATGATTCTCAGTTCGAATTGACAAATTTTATTACCGTTTAGCAAAGAAATGAAAAATGGAAGCCAATAATAAATATACTTATATACCCAAATGCATATACCATGTATATATATACTTGTATATATTTATTTTAAAACAGTAAATGCCAATCTATTGTGAATGATTTGATATGGTTAGTTTGTGCGATAGTAGATAAGGGAGGCTTTAACTTTATGTTCTTTTTTGAGAAAAAAGCTTTGCTCTTTGGAAATCTTCAGAGAATTGAAAATACTTTGTCTGCTGCAATCTTACTTTAAGAAGATCATATTAGAAAGTTAAATCTCATACTTACTGAACTGCGTGGTCAATATAACTATACCTTTGGTTTTTTGATTTACACAAATATTTTTGATTCCTGGCGAATCTCGAAAAAAATCGGTGTTAAAATCGATCAAAAATATCTTTATTATAAAAAGCCTCTAATTTCACAGAAAACAGCAGTTTCGAGGTAAAAAAGAACGTTGACTAACGGAGAAGGATACTTCTTCCAGTATACATTTTTCTTTATTCTTCAAACAATTTTACTTAACTAATCAATTATTCGATGAATCTAGTCAGAATTAAGCCAATTAAAGAAGTCATTGGTAAAATAGAACGTGGAGTAGGTAGACCTGAGTTAACAGTGCTCTTATGACGTGTTGACTTTTGGAAGCGTGGGGTGGATTGCTACTCCTAACCCATAGAAGACTTTTTTTACGGATACGAAGTTGTTCTACTGACTGGATATATTTTTTTAGAATTGTGGGGATTTTTTTAACATTTAATAGTATGAGTATTGAGTATTGATTCAAGATTCAGAAATGCAGCTTTTTTAGTTGAGAAAATACAAAACTGGATGGAAATAGTACTGCCTTGTATCGTGCACTGAACTTGTGAAACGGTTTCCAAATTTTCGATATTTGCCAAATAATTCGTACAATTAAACTAAATAACAAGAAGAAAAAAGATGGTGAGGTTCAAGTTGGTTGTCATCGAAGCCATCTAATGGCAGGCCCAGGAAACGTGCTATTTCGACGGTATGCTTTACCTCCGCTGAGCCTAGTTGCTTAAATACCAACATCCATCTAGGCACACATTCCATATGGTCTAAAGGATTTCGACGATTTCGTCTTGCTGATGACACCTCCTCATTGAACAAAATTTGAACGCAAAATACCACACCGACAAAAAATCAATGTAAACAAGCGAAAATTCAATTCATTATCACATTTGTATATATATACACACACAAACCTTACCACACTTCTTACCCATTTGTACAAAAAAAAACACTTAATTAAATGAAAAATGTTTGACGAGAACGAAGGTTTTTATTAGCTCACAAGCTGTCACGAGTGCGTCACATCAATATCAGGATGTCAAGCGATTTATCGCTTTTTAAAGGCCTCCAAATACTTGGGATTAATGAACACACACAAATACAAACGTTTAGGCTGATACCTTTGCATGTATATATGTAAAATCACTTAACGAAACTGAGTTCGACATGAAGTGTGCGCGTAAAGCTGTGGTCTTAGCATCTGGAAGCCTACAAGCTCACTTCTTTCTCGTTTAAAATAATTTTTATGACAAATTAAACTCTATTGATGCCTCAGCTGCAAGCAGCGAAGTATTATAAATATATTTGCAGATAAAGTTTAGAAACACAGTCGATGTCTCAATATTCTTTTATACAAATTCTTGCAACGGCAATGTAGATTTTTATTACTTTTCAAATTTTATCGCTTGCGATTTAAAATGAGTAGAGAATATTGGCTGTATACTTGCTAATAAACTGAAGATTGGATATTAGTCTTATTACTACCAAAATTCGAATACATGAATCACACTTTTGGAAATATCAGTCTGCCTTTATTTCTTCCAGAACCATGTTGATGATGATTCTCATCAAGTAATTATAAAATAATTAATATTAATGCTGCTTAGATGTTAGGTCCCTTTTTCGCATTATGAAACGGTTTGACCGACTATTTCTCGACCTAAGACTATCTTAAGAATATTGCGTGGGGCGATAAATATATATTGAGAATATTAGAATTTAATTTGAAATAGAGAGAAAAGGTGACCTCGGTAATCTTTTTTCATTTTGTAGTCTTAAAATTTTGGAGCTGTTCTAAAGAGTATGAGAGAGAAAGAGAGAGTTTGGGTGAGCGAAAGAGCATACAAGAGAAATAGAGGTAAAAATAAAGTGCGAGAGGGAGAAGGATGGATAGATAGAAATAGAGTAAAGTTCCTTGGCTTTGTCTCACATGGAAATCAAAAAGGCTACATTTTCCTTTCTGGATGTTAATTATAGCACCGCATTAATGTTTTAATAGCACTCATAGGTATAAATTGGAACTAATGAGCTTCAGTATTCGCTGTGTTTTTTTCACCTCCTTATCTTATTCAGTGTTAATATCTCTAAAAGAAATGCATTTCTCTCTAGAACCTAAGCGTATTATTAAGCAATAGAAACTTTTCAAATCTAACCTCACTTTTATGTCAGCAACTATCTGATTCTAGGGAAATTTTCCTCATTACGTATTGTCCTATTTGAAACAGATTGTTTTTCCTCTGAATTCGCTCCAAAAATATAAGATTTCGTTAATTTAGCCTAAATTTGGCTTCTTACTTCAGCCTTCGCTGAATTTATGGCTGACTTTCTACACTTGACGACACATTTAATTATCTTAATTTGTTTCCTCATTGATCTTTCTCATTGCGAAATTCTTTTTACAGAAAATTAATCGCTGTATTTCGCCTACGCTTTTGGCGTTAAAACAGTCTCTCCTTGTTTGCTACTGATTGATGTCAATTGAAATGGATTCCTGGAAATCTATCTGGCATCTTTAAAATCGCTTAAGTCTCTTTGTGTAATTAATACGACCTGACTTTTATTGCCTGCATATTTGTTCATTGATTTGGATGGCTAGAATGCGTATTAGAAAATTTTTTTGTTTGATATATGATGAAGTAAATGGAATCGGTGAATACGAGTAAGAGAAAAAAGTAGGCGAATATTTTAACATCGACCAGTGGAGGCACTTGAAAAGTGTTTAATTAAGTTTAAGACTGGATCAAATTGCCTTTGACATTAAAAATTACATTAAAAAGGTCTACTGGCGCCTTTGCCTAGAAACATAGTGCATCGCAGGCGGGATTTGGTAATCATTGATTGATTTGATATTAATACAGCTGATTCATGCTGCTCAAAATGACTAATTGTAATATCCTTGTCTGATTGCTGTCGATGTATAACAAAAGAACTTAATTTCATGACAGTAAAATAAAACTTTTATTAATTATACTATCGAATTCAGTATTTTAAGTCTTGATGTTTAATTTATTTAGGGATGAGTTTTGAATTCGTAATTTTAAACTTCTTTAACTTCAATTTTCTTGTAATTCATTTGGTTGCTTTAATTGTTTGACAACCAATTCAAGCTCAGTTGAATTTGACGACAGCTTTAAGGCTAACAACAGCTGTTATTTTACAGAACTTACCCTAATATAATAACGTTGGACCATTCGTATTCAATAATAAACTATTTTTATTAACAAGTTATTTTTAATTAAGTCACTAACTGATTCAAAAATTAACGAATTTTTCATTATCAAAATTGAAATTCCTAATAAAATATTTTTTATTTATAATTGTTTTTAATTTAGTTTTTGAATTGAATTTAATTAAATGTAATGTGTAAAAAAATTTTGACTTAAAAGGTATATAAGCGAATATACGCTTATCAGAGCAAAAGCACCCCTAAACAACTCAAGGCTTTTTATATCTATATTGTTAGTTAATATTTGATACAAATTACCACCTAAATTATACATTTTATGCGCAATTAGCAAACTTAACAATCGATTTTTCAACGAAATCGACTCAGTTATTGTTAGTTCAAATATTTGTTCGACTAATCAAAGCAATTAAACTTAATTGACTCAATTAATATTTTATTGGAGATTTGAGCGGACTTTTAACATTTCTTTGAGTATAATATATAGTGAATATAAAAAAATATTACTCCTTTTAAACATAATTGACTCAATTAAAATTAATGTTTCAATAATTCACCTTCAGAAAAGCGCTTTCCCCAAATAAGGATTAGTGAATATAAAATTTTACTAATTGACTTAAGAAAGCTTAGTTGACACAACTTAGCCAAATGTGCATATACATTATTAGAGATTTCAGCATTTTAACATTTATTATTGACTCAATTAAAGTTAATGATTCAACAATTTATCTTCAGAAAATCTTTTTTCCTAAATGAGTATTAGTGAATAATAAATTTGATTAATTGACTCAATTAGGTTAAATTGACTCGACTAAGCTAAATGTTTTAATATTTAATTAGAGGCTGGAGCGGTCTTTAGATGTTTTCGTCTATTTATTATTGTGGTTAGTAAACTGGCACAGAAAATACCTCTACATTACATTACATCGAGTTCCACAACTTGCTGTAATCGTTAATCGACTCAATTAAACCAAATAATAGTACCTTACGTACTATGTACTCACTTTATTTGCGACCAGGTAAATTAGTTCTCATCACTTTATTTTATTAGTAGTTGGTATCCACATATATTTTGTACGTATTTACCATTGAATTACATTTGAACATTAATTTACATACAATCACTGATATGTACAGGTACACAAATACTTAGCAGACTATTTAATACCTAAAAGAGTATGTAAGGGGCTTAACACATACTACCCAGAAGACATTGAATACTATGGTAGAAAATATTTTTTTTTGTTTTTCAGCATAGGAGTGATTAATAAGTATTAAAATAGTTGCTACAAATAAATTAGAAGCTAAGATTTATAATCATATAAGTTGTTTGCTGAGCAATTATAGGTATAAATACGTATTTATCAATTAATAATTAAGTTTATGCAATTTTTTTACAGTGGCGGACAAGTAGCTATAGTTATGTATAGTATAAAGTTGCAAAAATAAAAAAAAATATAACTAACAGTAGTCATTATTTTTATTATGTAAGTACTCTTTCTTCTTAAACAGTTCGAACAGCCGCAGATTGATTACTTAAACTTAAACTTAAGCGCTAAGCACTCCAGCAGTACATTTTTGCCCTAAGTTTTCCAAACCCAGTACACTTTGCGTACTCACACATACATTCTGCATCAATTCTCTTATAAATCTGTGCGCAACACCGGCGGTCGCTCCGTCGCCGCATTTGCATGTGACACACCGCCATTGGCTTGCAACTCTGTCGCCTCATTTACCACACTGATAGCGCTCAGCTCCGAAGATTCAGCTGTTGTATTGTTGCCTTTAATCAGCTGACCATTGTCATAGCACGCAGTAAGCGTGAGATTGGCATTTGTAATTTCCGTCGGCAATGCTTCGGACGTCTCGGCCACGGTCATTGTTGTCGCGGTCGTAGCCGTGCCATACGTGGTATTTGTAAGCAAAGTAGTTGTGTTACTATCCACACCTAGTAGCGCCTCCTTTTGCTTTTGTCGTTGTTGTCGTATAGCCGCCAATTTGCGACCCTTCTTACCCAACTTGCTGAACATACTAATATCCTTGCTATGCAGCTCAGCTGTAGGCACAGTGCCGGTGCCGCTGGCTGTGAATGTAGTGTCCTTCGCGTTTATGGCGGTTATGGCGGCGAATGCTTTGCGGAAGCTCTTTTTAAAGTTTTCACTTAGAAACGCATAGAGGAAGGGATTCATCGCTGAGTTGGAGTAACCGAGACAGCCGACAAGCAGGAAGATGGCAATTTCAAAGCGTGTAGCACACAGACTAGGTGTAGTCGTGATGAGTATTAGTTGTGAAATCCAGAAGGGCAACCAACAAAGTATATAAACCGTGATGACGGTCAGCACTAAACGTGTTACCTTGCGGTGGGAACGTTTCTTCTCTTTTGACTTATTCTGTGGGCCGACAGTACGCAATTTCCGTATGACGAGGTAGTAAAAGCAGAGTATGAAGACGAGCGGTGTAGCGAAACCGAGCGTAAAGACATACATAATAAAAGTGAAACCGGTTTCATGATGTCCCAACTCAGGCCACTTGATGTGACATGAAATATGTCCACTTTGCTCTACCGTATTCGCGAATATGATAACCGGTAACATCAGTAGGGCCGAGGCAAGCCATGCGAAGCAGGATACTAACTTCGAAATGAGTGGCGTGCGATATTGCGTCGAAGAGATCGGATGACAAACGGCTATGTAACGATCTGCTGACATGATCAATAAGAAGATCGATGAAGTAAACTGCGTAATTGACGTACTGACCATATAAGCTTTACACATGAAATTGCCGAATTGCCAACTACCGCTAACTATGGTATGCAGCAGGAAAGGTATGCCAATAAGGAAACATTCATCAGCCACTGCCAAATTGAGTATGTAGACATTCGTAATGGTTTGCATTTTCGAATAACGCAACACGACATAGATCACAAGCGTATTTCCGAACAGACCAATAACACAAACGATCACATAGAGCACAAAATTCACTATATGCCCAATAGAGTCACCATTTGTTGGACAATTCTCATAGTATGAATATTCCATGGTTATATTGTAGGTGTCATTCTCTATGCTCACAGCCATCGCTGTGCTGAGATTGTGTAGCAACGGCGAGTCGATAGCCTCTTCGAGCGGGAAGAGCGCCAACGTCGGGATCTGCGGTTCATCGGGGTATGCGTTTGTAGCGACGTTGTGTGACATGTTGTATAGTCTATAGAGCAGCTAAGCTACTAGTTTAGTAGAAGTGAGTGAGTGAGCTGTTGCAGGTTTTATGTTGAGAGGAGTACACGTTTTCAGATGAATTTTGATTTAACTTCGTCTTGCTCAAATTTATATATTTTAAGCTCCGCTTTTTATTTAGTATCTCTCACCAACTGCCTAATAAGCTGCCATATCTGCAAGTAAGGAGAGATATAAGAAAAAATATTTAAGTGGTAAGCTTAGTACGAAAAATGTTTGATGTTAACTGATGACATGTGTAAGAGGTGAGTCCGCATATTTTTCATTTTTTGAATTTTCGTTTTTACTACTTTTCTTTTGCTTTTGTTCACCATTGCTTCGACACACAATACCTTTAAGACCACTCAATAAAGTCAACACGTCGCATTGATGGGCTTCCATAAATCATAATACAACACAAATAGCCTGAACAAAGTAAAAAGTTTAGACAACTAAGTGGTATTGGGTAGTGCGCTGTGGAAATATGAGTTCGATAACAATATGTTGTTGTGAAAAGGAATATCGAAAAGAGACAGGAAGTGCAAAATTAAGCAAATACAAAGTGGGAAGGTGTGTATGGAACAGAAACCAGATAATAATAATCAATGTCAAATAGAGGGATGAAAACTTCATTATGGCAGAACTGAATGCGATTATGGTCCGGATTCGCTGAGAAAACCACCTTGTTTTACGATAATAATACTTTTCTTCTTTTTATTATAATATTTTCATTTTGGTAATATTCTAGCGGAACCAGTAAAAATACCACCAGCAATCAGAGACTGGAGATCAAGCGTAGAATATTACTTGCCAACAGGTGCTACTTGGGATTGTTAGACGATTGATTAGCAGATCCCTCTCTCGACGAAACAAAATTAAGCTCTATAAGTCTGAAGCGCTAAAGCATGGACGATGACTAAGTGGTCTTAAAATTACCTTTTTCTCAAAAAGTTTCATATTTAAACAGATGTAAATACTGAAGTTTATTTAATCTTTAAATAGATGGCAACTGCTACCATCATAAATATTTTAAAGAAGTTGTCGGTTCAGTGTTCTGCGAGTCTATAGTCATGTCACTCCGTTCATTTGGAGTATAAGGAAAAAGTTAAAGTTTCCATATTTATTCTTTTTTCCTCAAGCTTAAACTAACACAGGCTAGGCTTACGTAGTCTATAAGGTAATATTAACTAAAACATAAAACCCTATAAACACATAGAAAAATCACGGGTATAAAATATAAATTCATACATATGAAAAAAACACCTTTTTTTAGCTCGCCACAACACAATAGTACCTTTCTATGCTTGACGGTATCTACTATTGTACATTCTGCGACAAAACATTTTCTTCGTCTGTGTATTTATACTTTTACTTAGTTTGCCGGTTTCTTATGTTTCATTGGATATTCGCTTTATTGAAAGTGACAGCACATTAACATGCAGCAATCATTTGTAAACGCTTGTCTCAGCTGTCACGTTTTTCAGATGGCTACAAGAAGGGCTTTGAGCGTTTGGTGGCAATACCTTTAGAGCAGTTCAGTAGATAGCGAAGTTTTGCAATAATACTTTGATATATGTAAAGGTGGGTGGGCCTTAAATTAATCTAGTTGGTTAATTTTGATGAGCTTTTTGAAACTGTTTGTGCTAGTAGCTAATGAAGGTTAGATTAGATTTTTTGAAAGGGCTTAATAGTGTACCAGTAATTAAAAAAAAAAACTGGAACGAGGATTTTAAACTTATATGGAATTTCAAATTTGGTTTGTAACATTATATTAAGCTATTATATTATAGATTTTGATATGACTTTAACATCATGTTATCAAAAATTGATTCTGTATACAGTTGACCTACGTTCAAGACTTATGTTATATTTAAAAAAGTCTAGTTAAACTTTGAGTTTAACATATTCGCAAACTAGAACATAAGGAAGATATTTAAAAACACAGTTCAGTAAACTCGAGTTTGTATAGCGAACACTATCGTGTTTAACTCAGAGTTTCTAAAATATTTACTTTATTAAAAAATTTTGCAAGAATATTCATAAACACAAAGTAATAAATTCGAGTTTATAAAGTCACAAATTGCGGGCTTAAGTCAAAGTGGAATCACAAACGCCTTATTCTATATACTTGGAAGAAGATCCTCGACTAATGGGATAGAAAATGTTCGAATAACACACAGTATTAGACCTTGGTAGGTTTTTTGTTTTACTAAAATCAATAAAACATTCATCGAAATCAAATAACTGTATGCTTGGGAAGCTTTACTCCACAATATTATATAAATTAGGTGGGAGTATTATGCAAATTACAGCTTTATAGGAGAAACAACATAGCGCCTACTTGGTTTTGTCTGTGGCATAAGGCGTTTCAACGCTAGGCGGAGGCAAATCTTCAAAACATATGTATGTGCATATGGATTTGTGAAGCCAAAAGGAATTTGGCAACTTTTAACACCAAAAAATTGTTTACTTCATTCGCACGCGCCAATATGTCGGCAGCGATAAAATCTAAGCTACATTGCTATACAGACGTATAAATGTATATACAAGTATATATGTATATTTATATATTTTTACACTTGTATATATTTAAGCGTTACTTGGCTCGAAAAAAAATGAAATCTTGGCATATATTAACTCGGAATAGCTGGCATTGTCATAGGCTCTGCATAGCATTAGGTTTTATTTATTTTGCGATTTAATGGGAAAGTGTGGGTGCATATATGTGCTGTACATATATATTTATATATATAACTGAATATATATATGTGTACATTTGCCATTTATCGACATATTTTGGCGTGCTTGAAAATGTTCAACGAAACGATTTATGCTGGCGCTCGCTAGAAAATACATATGTAACACAAGAGATAAAACTAAAAACAAAGCACATTTAGATAAAAGTGGAAGCAGAAGAAATATGGCAAGTGATAATGGTAACGAACGCGTACGCCTTATGTGTGATTGATGGGCACTTTATACGAAATTTCCTACTTTTCTTACACATCAAAATATATGTTTATTTATTATATATATACATATGTGTAGTAGGGTATCCGTTATTCCCCCAATGATCTGTTTTTCGCAAACGACCCCTGAAGTTTCAGTCTGTGCACTGAAAATAAGAATCCAAACTAAACAAGCTATTAATTTTAAATTTAAGCCGTGCCTAAATCAATTTACTTTTTCCATAGATATTTAATATGTAATTTTTTGATCTTTTGCAATCAATTTTTTAGCTTTAAAGAAAATAAATCTACAACTTTAAAAAGACAATATTCTAATACAAACTTTTCCGATTTACAAAAAAGGTCTTTATAATTGTTTTCAAAAAAACATTACTATAAAAGTTATACGCAGTTAAAGTTATGTATCATGTACTGTATTCATATAGTGCACCATGCCGTATGAGCAACGCAGAATCTATATAGAATTGTATGAATTCGTTGGGACCTTTTTATAAAGTCGAAAATTTTTTATTAAAATATGAGTTTTGCAAAGTGGTAGATTTATTCGCTTTGGAGATAACAAATTTATTGCAAAAGATCAAAATATCCCTTGCTATATATATGAGAAAAGCAAAGTAATTTAGGCACGGTTTAAATTGCAATACAAATTTTTTTTTTGAAAAATTTTTGGGGACAAGAACTGGAACTACTGGGAGCATTTGCAAAAAAAAAATTATAATAACTTGGTAAATAATGGACACCCTAATATATATAAGTGACCAAATCTACTTCACTTTATGCGCATCTTTCGAGGCACACGCAGCTGACCTGAATTGCTTTCGTCTCGTTTTTATTGACCAAACATTACAAATGATTGGCAGCACTGGTAGGTGGTAGTCGAATACTTTTGTGCAATACTGTGTTGGGCGCGTTAACGAGCCTTAGTTAAGCCTTATGAGTTTTTGATGTGCCTTTCGTTAATATTAAATGATTATAATGATAAATTTGCTTTTAGTGAGTTACGTTTTGCTTATTTTTGTCCATTACTTTTAATATCTTCCATTTTTGGTATGCAATCTGGGTCAATAAACTTGCCTTTTGTGCATTTTATATAACTATTGCTTGGATTGTGTCGCGGTAGTTATACTTTCTCAATAAGATGTTAATAAATTTCACTTTAATACTATTCAATAAATAATGTGGACGTCAAAGGGATTTTTGCTGAGACTTTGAGTAAATCAAGCAATAGGTTGTGAGTCAGAGAACGAAATGTTTTAATAATAATAGCAAAATGCAATGCATAAAAGATAGAAGTATGAAAGAATTTTGGTAAAAAATGTACCTTAAAACACTTGCTTAAATATAGGCGATAATTCCTTCAAAAGATAATGGTTGTGCTGACACTCACCAGCATTTAACTAATCTCATTTTGTAAAGTAAAAATCTCTTTCTAAAGAGATGCTTAAAAAATGGAATAAAAAAATTTTTTTGCACACCTGAAAAATCTTTAGAGGCTGGCAATTTAATGAATAGTAATGATTATTTCTTCTTCATAGAGCTGGCACCTCTCTCTTATGTATAATTTTCAAACAAAACTTCCTTCACTTTCGCTCTCTTCTCTTTTCCTGTGTGTATGTATAATATATGTATTGTATGTTTATAAATTATTTTTTGCCATAAAAAAGCGTTAAATCGCCAACAAATTTAAAACACAGTCTGGAAGCTAAAAGCATTCACACGCAGGTATGCACGAGTGCAACACGCAAACAAGGACTAAACCTTGAGTGGCCACTAAGGTGACCAACGACAAAAAGGACATGACAACAATAATGATGAGTCGTCGGTCATATTTGCATAATAACGGCGACGGCGGCAGTAGACGTAAACATACGGTTTATGTGGAGGAGTGTGTTTGAGTGCTCTTGAAGCCAACACTTGCGGTTGCTGTTGACATTGTTATACTTATATGTATATATATAGTATATATATTTGAATAACGGCTAGTTGTTGTTGTCGTTAGTTGTTGCTTTGCTGTCGCGAAACGCTCGTTTCACTCCATTTTGGTATAATTTTGCATGTAAATTGCAAAATTTCATTGCAATTCAAGACTCAGCCATTCGTTTGATGTAGTTGAAAACACCGCTGACAAGAGAGAAAAAGGGAAACATGAAGAGGAGTTGGACCAGGGGCGAGTGCATGATGTGGTGTGATTAAAAAGGCGGATAATA